AAAAAAAAAAAAAAAAAAGACTTCCTTCTGCATAAAGAGATACATTTGCCACATCAGTCCCTGTAGCAGTTTTTAAAACCATTCTGTCAAAAATACAGTAATACAAGACTGGCTTTAGTGCCACTAGCTTACACTGCTTTTCATATGTTTAGGCCACCTTTTGTTACTGGGACTTGATCATGCAATAAGAGTCATCAAAGGCGTGCTCTAGCGTCTCGGCAGGCTAGTGGCCCTGAAGCACTTTCACAATCTCAACATACATCTGAATTGCAACACACAGATATTTCTAAAGAGTATTAACTAGTGAACCCTTTTATTTAAAAAAAAAAAAAAAAACTACTTACAACCATTGAAGAAAAAAATTGCAACAAAAAATGTAAAAATTGACCGTCTCCAACTTGTCCCCTGTGCTATTAACAATGTAACCAACAGCTCTGTGGCACAGACACAGTACAAAGAGTTGTCATGGCAATGAGTTTGGCTGATGCAAAGGTCATTGTGCAGGGTCAAAGGGCAAAATCAGTGGTCCATGTTACCCCCAACTGCAGGGCTCCACTCCACCCACACAATTTTAAGGAATTAGAAAAAACAGGGGAACTACCGGAAAGTGCAAAATATGAAGAAGGCAGCTTTCAGCTCCTTCAGCATGGAGTACAACATTCAATTTTGAGCTTTTATTATTGAACTTGAATAGCCTGCACATTAACAAAAAAAGTTTTCTATAGAAACCAATTTCTTAAAGTCCAGGAAGCATGCAGCTGGTTAGTATTAACAAAAGACCTTGACAGGAACATGTAAACTGTACTGAACGTCATGCTCGGGGCCTATCTGCCAGCAATATTGTAGAGTTGCTTCATCAAGAACGAACACTGTACACTGAATACGGGATAACCTTCCGCAGCCTTCACTGTTTCACACGTCATAGAATCCGAGTCCAGGTGGAAAACATGTCCTGCTGTCACGCTGCTGAGATGGCCCTGTGCAATCTCTTTTGTTGAGTCCTTATGAAGCTACAAGCCACAAATCCAAGATTCTGCTCCCTGAGGACACGTTATGTGAGACACAGCACTAATTTCGTTTTCTGCCTATCCTGAATGCTCTGTGAAACTTAACCTTAAATACCATCACGTAACAATCACAAAAACTTCTGCTAAAGGCCTTATATACTAATAAAAAGACAGTGGTGCTTCCAACATTCTGAAATGCTCTGAAAACCAACTTTTCCAATACTAAATACAACAAAATAACCTTCATAAAATATAACTTTTCTCCATTTACACTTTTTTAAAGGATTAGTATCCTATGCTTTTCAAGCACAGGAATCTGAAATAACTCCTAACATGGACAGATTTTTTTTTTAATACATAACTTAAGAGCCTGGAGAGTTTTAACTCAAGTCCAGCCTCTAAACAAGGAATATTCTTGTTTACTTTAAAAATGGAAACAACATATAGTTCCATTATAATTGTTAAAAAGTTAGCTTTACAAACATGGGAATTTTAATTTAAAAAAAATTCTTAACAAAACTATACAGTGTACAAATTACTGTCTACAAGGTAGGCGGTTCGTTAAGAAGACCTCCCGCTCTTCCTGCTACTCGCAGCTTCAGATTCATTCACATACTGTTTAGTGGAGCTGCCCACCCGAAAATCACCCGACAACTATATTGCTATAATTAAGATTTCTGCCATGTCTTTATGTACAGTCTCCTTCACTGCCTTTCCTTCCTTCCTTCCTTTCTCCTTAGCCAAGCCTCGAACGCTCACATCACTCCAGGAGGAACATGCTGCAGAGGCACTGAGGGCTGGGCTGCAAAGCAAAGCAACGGAGGCTGGCCAGTACCACGACCCACGGGTGCCCTTGGGTGCCCTTCACCAGCGGAAGCCCTGCAGTTCTGGGTAAGGGAGGGGCGTGCAAGATCTGCAAAAGTGGGGCCCTTCGTCAGAATATACTTCCTGGTAAGAGAGGAGGAGGCCAAACAGTGGACTTGAGATTATATAGTAGTATTTTCAACAGTTTTAATTCAAAAGGAAGTGAGAAAAAAATGGATTTAAAAGTAAAGCAACACTGGCACTAGGCCTTCAGAGTCGAGACGCAGGCAGGAATACCATGGAGCATCGCTTGGTCAAGCTAGAACTGCTCACTCGCTGCAGAGGCAAGGTGGTGAGCCTGCCTGCAAAGAATACTGCGTGTCCTGTGAGGTCGAGGTGCTCCTTAGTAGGTCAGGGGCACCGAGGGCTCGGCCCAGGTGGCTGGCTTGCAGGGGGCAAGTGTCACAGAAATGGCTGGGCTTCCTCTGGACCTGGGCCGCTAGGATCCCGCCTTGCTATTCAGTGTTTGGGCTCGCAGAGCGAACGCGCTAAGCACAAGTCATTCTGCAGCTCATACGCGCTGTTCTGAAGTAGAACAACTGAGAGTTTGTGCATCAGGCAATGGTCTGGGGAAGGGAGCCAGGGACTCCTTATGACAGCCTACCATGTACCACCAATTGTGGAATATTCCCTCTAACAGCGAATTCACGAAAGGGGGCTGGGAGAGGGGAGAAAGGACAAAACACGGCAGCCTCCGTTCACCCTCCTACCCTCAGGAGCCACTAAATCAAATATATATTTGAGGTACCACCCTTTGAAAAACATCCCATCAGTATCTAATAGGCTTAATTCATCCACAGGAAAATTAACTTCTTAAAATTCTATATTCTCTCTGTTCTAGTTTTCAGTTTAAAAGGGCAGGTAAAATTAAAAACAAAAAGATTTATCTATTTACTCTGTTCCTTAAAAACTGAACTTTGATTTTAATCTATCAGTCCAAATACATTCAGCAATAGCAACCTTCCATTCAATCTGCTGGATACCGGAAGAAACGGAAGCGCACTGCTATTCATTGGAAGTAGTAAGTCACAGGTAAATCATATTCTTAATATGGTTTTTGTCATTAATAAATGAGGAACTAGGGCAAGGGGGTGGAGGGGAAGGGCCACGGAAGCACTCCTTCCAGTTGGTCTAAGTGTTTGGTAGGAGAAAGCATATTCCTGTGTTGAAGCCCCACGTGTGAAATGTCCAGGATCAGCTCTCCGGGCTTCCTAACAAGCGCATTCGCCAAGCAGGAGACAGGCTCACTCTCCGCTGCGGATCCGCAACTTCCAAGAAAAACTACCACCACATTCAACTAGGACAGTTTTTCTTCTAAGCCACATCTGCCTCCGGGAGAATCTGTAATGTCTGCTTTCTTACTATTCTGTTGCTCTGAAAGCCAGAAGTAAGTTCAGCTTGCACCCCAGGTAGGACATGAGGGGGGGAACCTGCGTAAGTTGAAGCTCGTCACAGTAGGCAGAACAGTCGCTTTGCAGCTCGGGCCCATCCCAGGGTGCACTGCTTCACAGCTACACTGTAAAGTGTTAAAAATCCTCCCACCCACCCCAGAATATATATATGTATATTAAAAAAAATCCCCTGTCCATCTCTCAGTACACAAAAGGACCTCATCACGCTGCAAAAATAGCAGTGCCCACTTTGGTCAATTAAAACAAACAAACAAACAAAAAAGCATAATTATTTTTTTTAAAAATCTGTGTACTTACCTATAATAACCAATACAGCTAAAAGCACTACCTACATAGGCAAAACTTGGTATTGCATAATTCGTATAAATTTGAAACCCCTCCCCCCAATATTAATTGGAAGATGAAAAACATGAAAGGTTAATAGAAAAAACACCAAAATACTGAAAATATTGCTGGTCGATTACAATTTTTAAGCGGCAACTATACACAGCCATGATATGCTTTATAAATGTGAGATAAAGGTATAACTGTCTAAAAAATCCATGATGTCACACATTTTTCTTCGTCTGGAGTACAAAATATTTTGTCATAAAAATGGTAAAGATTTAAAATGATAATAAATGCAGCAAAACAAGTGTAGTGATGTCACTTTTTGTTTTTTTATGTTTTTTGTTTTTTAGACTTCAAGGCAAGGCACGTGATGTGGACGTTATGTCTTCGTGCAAATTAGGATTACTGGAGAGAGTATTTTTAATTAAAATTTTAAGAGACATAGAGGCAAAATGTGTCTGCCCATGCACACTATGTATCTGTCAATACAAGGAATTGGTTGAACAAGGCTAATGTCTGAAAGCACCATGCAAGTTTTCAGCACCCTCATTACATTTGTTTTCTCAAGAGTGCATTTTTTTTTTCCTTTTTAAAAAATATCCTACACCCTGGCATTCCCAGTTTGTAAACTGTAAGCTTTACCCTTGTGACATGGATTTGCCTGCCTCTTTTGTCTCTAGAATGCAGATTTTGTAGAACCTTTGTACACCCTATGGGTTCTTGATGCAACCAGTAATTTTAAATAAATAAATTCTACCTCCAAGGAGGCTGCAGCTAAACCAACATAAGTGCTGTGTTTTCATTAATTTTTTTTTTCTCAAGCACATGATTTGTCTTGATTTAATGCCTTTTTAAATGCCCTCAAAAACTGAGGGGAAAATAAATTTGTTCAAAATTATTTTAACTTCTTTTTAATCCCCTCAATTTAGAGTCCAAGGGCTGAAGGACTTATAATCATGATTCCCCTTTAGATATAAATTTATAAATTGCACTTGCCTCTGTTAAGTGTTTCTTTTGTGGGGAAAACATTATATTAAGTTTTACTGTTGCATGCGGAGATGGCGCTTCACCTACGTAGAGGCATTTCTTCCATAGAGCCTTTGAGTTGAAACTGTTTTGTTTTTTTTTTTTCCTTTTTTCCTTTTTTTAAATTTTTTTTTTCTTTTTTTACCTTTTCTGTCTTTTTTAAGATTTCGAACTGGGTTACACACTGGAAAAGGCTGGGTTAAGGGCCAAAATGTAATAGATTTGTACTGATCACTAAAGGCTACAGAGATTTCATATATATATATTTTTTTAACTTTGAGAAATGAGAGTGCTCAAGGATGGCTGGCCCATGGCTCTGCGGCCAGCACCTGACGCCGCCCCAGCCTCGTTGGTGAGATAACCAGGAATGGTGATTCCATGCGTAAACAACGAGAATACTAAACCAAGAAAACTAGCTTATCATGCAAATATTAAGGCATCTAGAAAGTCAGTTAAAATATATTGTCATCGAGACAGAACATCTATTTCCCAGCGGACTTCGTGTAACAAAGGCCACGCTGCAGGGCTGCGCTCTACCATCAGTGAAATATCATCGACCCTTTTAATGTCATTATACTTCCAACCTTAAGGGATTAGTGATTGTAAGTGCTTCGACTGCTGGTCTACCGTCTTCTTTCTTCAGTTGCTTTCCTTTCTCCCTTTGTTTTGTCCAGTCTTCCTCGTTTCCTTTTTTTTTTTTTTTTAATTTTTTAAAACTACTGTTGTATTTCTTTTTCCCTCAGTTGCTCGTTTCTGCTTGAAGGAAAGGTTCTCCAATTATGTTCAAACCATAATTTTGGACATTTGCCGGTAGGATGGGTGTCCTATTTGACACTTGGAAAGGAACCAAGCTAGCCCAGGTACCAGGACTGTTGAGAGGAAAGGGGCAGCAGGGAGGGGAGGAAAAAAAGAGAGAAAACACAGCGTTAAAATATACGACAGTGTTGGGAATATAAACTTCAGATGCATTAAATTACTATTACACGTTTGTTTTTCAAAATCAAGATAACATGTCTAACATGAGAAAAACATGCCAAAATTTACATGATCCCTACATACTACAGTCTGTATAATACTATAAGGCATCTATATATTATACCTACATACGTAAAATATATGATCTTTTTTTCATGAAAAAAAAGTGAAGCAGAAAACCCTGGAGTGAAACATACACTGTGCTGAACTCTGATACTCCTTCTACTTTTTCTTTTTTTCCCCCATTACCAGGGATTGAACCCAGAATTGTCACGCTAAGCTACGCCTCCAATCTGTTTTTTTTTTTTTTTTTTTTTTTTTTGAGGCAGACTCCCCTGAACTGCTAATTTGCCCAGGTTGGGCTCAAACCCATAATCCTCCTGCCTCAGCCTCCCAAGACTGCTTGGGTTATAAGCATGTGCCACCAGCCTCAATTTCTTCCTAAAATAGCTGATCCATTAGCGAAGCGTCAGCCTACAGTTACACCAATACACCGCAGCTTGCCAGTTAGAGTGTACTGATCCGGTTTGATCTTTTAACTTAACAGCAATCCAGTGATACAATAAATTTCCATTTTTTACTTGCCTATAAGATTGAGCAAAATTGAAAAGTATATTTACTTTCCTCTCACATAAAGAATTTGCTTTTCAGTCAGGTATGTACATAATATGCAATCTGAATACCTAATAATCAAACATATCTTCATCGAGAAGACTTTACTAACCAAATACAAAATTCAGAACCAAACAGAAGTTCTGTTGCTGTGGTTTCCTACAGAATATCCACTTTAAGAAAACATGGGAGACTGCAAAGATCTCTACAGCTACTGGTTTCTTGTTTTTGTTTTTGTCCTCTTTCTCAGATAGAATCGCTGCTTTCCTCTCAATTCACATGTTCTTACATCAGCTGCCAACAGAAACCTGCTTCCTGCCCTGCGCCCCGGTGTGACACAGCCTCCGAGCAGCTCTGAACCGCGGGGGCTGGGTCGGGCCGCCTGCCTCTCTCATCAGCCTCTGCCCTCTGTCAGAATTGGAGCAGTGTTTAAAAAGTGCAAAACAGCTCTGTACTTGCTTCTGGCATAACCTTTCATAAAAGAAATACTGTACAGAGGAAAGTAATGCCAGACCTACAGACCACGATCACGTGCACCATACATGGTGGGGTGCACCTCATCTGAGGCATCGCTGACATCAATACTCAACTGGCAATGAAAGGCAGCGACATAACAGCTGCGTAAATAATTATGAACCAAGAAAATATCAAATAGACAATTCTGTACTCAGTTTAGTCATGGCTTAGCATAGAAATAGACTTCCAACATTTTATATTTAATTTAGTATCCTTCACTTGACTTGTGAGACCATAAGGCAAGATGGATAGTTTTGTAACTATCAATCTACATATATTTACTTGGACACGTTTAAATTCCAAATATACAAAAACTTCATAGGCTATTAATCTGAAGGAAACTTTTTTGAGTAAAAGAAACCTTGGCATATGACATTTTTCCTCTGGTAATACCTCTAAACAAAATGTGGCTTATTGTTACCTAAGTAAGTATTTCTGACATACTTAAATAGAAAACATCATAATGAGCTTTTTTATGTAAGAGATTTTATATCTAGGTTACAAACTCCATGACAACAAAGACCACCTCTCTTTTGGGGAAATCATGTGGCACAGGACCTAGCCCATAGTGAATAGTCAATAATGGTACATAAATCAATTAACTGCTCCAAGTCACACACAACTATGTATTTTTAAAAAGCTTTTGCCCACAAATACACATACTCACGAAAAGATACTTAGCACCAAAATTTTTATTATGCACGAATAATTATCTTCAACTAAAAAAGTTACTATCTGATGAAAAAATAGTAACTTTCGAGAATAAGAATACTTTTATTGACAGCTTCCTCGAGAGACCCCACCACTCTCACGTCTCTCTTCCCACGCACATCTTCAGCAACCACCGAGACTGCACCACTGAGAACAAGGCCACGCAACACAACAAGCTTGTGTCCCTCACCTGTGCTGCTGCTGCACCTGCCTGTGGCCCTACCACAGCACAGCACTTTCAATCGTAATTATTTATTATCCACACTTATCTTACTGACTGAAAGGTGAACTCCACGGAGAAAACAACCTACTTTTACCTATCCTTACCAAGTCAAGCTAATCCAATGTTATTTATTTCTTCATAAAGAAATAAATCACAAAAAAGCATCCATTATTTTTAACTTAAAGAATAGCAGCAAAAGCCAAAAGACTGGCTCAACATAATCAATGACCATAAAACAGCACAAACAATAACCAAATTACTTTGAAAAATAAAAAACCCAAAACAGACAGGCTCACAGCTTATTTAGAGACTAAATCACTTAGGAGTATAAAGTATATTTTAATGATTGAAAAATCAGTGTGAAGGACAGATCTACCAAATCTTAGCCAAAAAGAGACAGAAACTCGGGGTGCGTTTTGTAACTGCTCTCTTGGTTCTTTAGGACACACGTATTATCAACCTTTAGAAAATTCTCAATAAAAACAATTTGATGCCAGTCACTACAAAGGCTCATCCTGTAGAATGCCTCAAAAATTGAGTTTAGACATTTCTTTAAACATTTTAAAACATGCACCCTACCTAATGACCATGGCAAAACTGCAGTGCATGGTGTATTTGTCAAGACTATCTATGAACCTCTGGAGGGAAGGAAGGCTCATGCAGTAGCCTGGTGCAGACCCGCAGATGGGCGCTGCACGCTCCAGCTGCCAGTCTGGGCTAAGCTCAGAACTATCAGGCACAGACATGTTACAGAAATTTTTGGCAGCCCCATTGAAAACAGGCCTGGTAAAGCCAATTCAAGGTCTCTGAAAACAACATAAGGAAAACATTTAAACAAACAAAATAATCTAGATGGCTGAATATTAAAAATACAGTATCTAAAATTGCATAGGGATTCAAATAAAAATGTAACAGTGCTTTTACCTATCTAACTCTTTCAATAATTATACGCATGGATAAAATAAATGCATATACATATAAATTAGTTGCATATAAAATACTTAATGGTTTTAATTTAAAACAAAATGAAAATTATATGAGAAAGAGCATACTTGGTCTATCCAACAATGTACACTCTCTAGTAAGAGCTCGAGAATGGGACTGAAAGGACTTGAAAATACCCAGCATTAGATGTAACTCCAGCAATGTAACTTGAAATTCATATTTGCTTTGTTGTCATTAATTTTCCAATGTCAAATCACCTTTCTTTTAGGCAAACTAAAGATAATCAAAGGTGAAGGAACATATTTATAAACTCTATACTGACCACAAGCACATAATATACCTCTGTATCATATACATGGACCATAAAGCACAAAGATTTTGGTGGAACCTTAACACCTTCCACTCTATGTATATAATGAAGTATATGTCATCGTGAATAAAATACATAGAACTAAATCAAAATCCCCAAAATAACATGTTTCATACTTTGGGGAATATTCCCACATTATTTTGAGCAAATGTATGATGTGGGCCCCTCCAAATATAAATTATTTTATCTTAAATATACATTAATGGCAGATGATGGTCATTTATTTTTTGCTATTAAGACTACCTCTGAGAAACACTGTGTTTCTTCTAGACATCTCTCTTGAAGAGAAATAAAATCAAAGGCATTATTTTATTGAAGAATTTTACCAAATTACATTATTTAAGGTACAGTGTAAAGATAACAGAAAAGACATGGCAGTTGAGTTGGAAAGAAGTTCTAACTTCTGTACGATTCGGATGGATAGAATTAGCACAAAGGGATAAGCATGCAATGAGTCCTTTGGAGCAGAATGCCATGTTGGTACTCTATGTATGGATCAGCACTTAATCCTCTCAATGAACTCTTAAAAATAGCTAGTTCACAAAGAAATTGAACTTACTTGCCCAAAGCCCTCTGTGTGGCTTTCAGATATAACAACTCAGTTCACTCCGATTCTCACGGCCATTTTACCATTATACTGTCTTCCTAGGAATGGCCCACTCTTTGAACAACTTTCTCAAAGCAAAATATGTTTGCTTCAGGAGACAATAAATCTCCCGTGCCTGCCACAAGCTGGATCCTAGCCTAGCTAATGTTGCCGAAGAGAGTTCTGTGCTGAACGTGAGGCTGGCTGCACGGCCAAGCAGCCTGAGCTCCCCTGGAGACAAACCTAGCTGAAGTTCTACTAGTGAAACAGCACGAAGAGGCCTAAGAAGGAAGAAACTGCCCACTTACTCCTTTAAAAATGGTAGCTGATCCATGGATTTCTGGATCCAGTGGATACAACAGTTGGCCTTGTATCTAAGAAGTCAACAGTCTACCAATCAGTGAAAAGAGAAAGTTGGCTGTGGCAGCTAACACACAATAGCTACGCTTTCTGAAGTATGCATTCCCTGTCTGTATCTCTGAAGCCAAAACAATTGGTTCCTCAGCTTCTAACACAATTGGTCAAGAACCATAAAGAGCCAAATAAATGCATGAAGTCATTAAATGGAGCCAGAAGCCCAAGTTTTGTCTTCACCTATTGCTTCCAGGTAATTAAAACAAAAAGCTATTTGAAGATTGGCAAAATCCATTTATCACTACCTAGTGTTCATCTGATGATGAACTGGGCATTCCATTTGTCAGTCTGTAAAATGTCAGAGTATTTAGTATACCAGTACTTTTCAGAGGAACATTAATGTTGCCCATTCAGATTTTATATACTGCATTTCCTTCAAAGATTGCAAGTGCTCTTGTAGGAAGCTTAAAAATACATTTAGGAACAAAGTGCGAAAGATGGTATATATTCATAGATACTTAACTGTACCAGTAGGCACATTATTGGTAGACAGTGATAAAGAATAAGCAAAGGTCCA